ACAGTGAGCGGCCGTCCAGAAGCCGGCGACTGATCTGCCTCACTGGGAAGAGCGCAATGATGGTGCCAACTTGGGCCAGTGAAGCAACGTCCCCCACAACTAGACTGAAGAACAAAATGACAGCAACTTGTCTGTTCCCCTTCCCCCAATTTCCCAGCACTGTTCCCATCCCTCCAATTCTCCAGTTAAAAAAAAAAATCTTAAAAATAAAAGATGACACTAAGGTTTCGGGGTGGTTACCACAGCAGCAGTGACAGAAACATGGAAGTCCAGGATTAGGACCATTTTCAGGGCAGAGGCAGAGGGTTTGGATTCAGATAGGCTGAGAAGGAGCAAGACGAGCATATAGACAGAAAGGGCCAATAGCAAGGTGAGGCCGTGGGAATGTAGCAGATGGGGGGACACAGAGATCTGAGATTTAAAGATATTCAGCCATTTTAAGAAGGATATGGTGCACTGACTACAAGCATATGCTCTTGAGTCAGACCACCTGAGTTTGAACACCAGCTCCACTGTTACTAGCTGTGTGGCCTTGGTGTGTGAGCTAACTTCTCTGTACCTAAAAATTTCTCATTGCTATAGAGGAGTTAAGAGGAGTTCATGCATATAAAACATCCAGAATCATGCCTGTCACATAGGAAGTGCCCAATACCTATTACCTGCCACCACCACCACCGTCACCACCAATGTCGCCATCACCATCAGCAGCACCACCACAGCTACCACCATCACCACTATCATCATTAACGTAGAGATTTTATTCTAAATACTAATTCGTAATGATACACACCCCTATGTTCATCGCAATGCTATTTACAATAGCCAAGACATGGAAGCAACCTAAGTGTCCATCAGTAGATGGTTGGATAAAGAAGAGGCGGTACATATATACAATGGAATATTACTCGGCCATAAAAAAGAATGAAATCTTACTATTTGTGACAACATGGATGGACCTAGAGTATATTATGCTAAGTGACATAAGGCAGGAAAAGACAAATATTTTTTGATCTCACTTGTATGTGGAATCTAACAAACAAAATAAATGAACAACAAAACAGAAACAGACTCACAGATAAAGAGAACAAACTGATGGTTGCCAGTTGGGAGCAGGGTTGTGGGGTTGGGTGAAAAAGGTGAAGGGATTAAGAAGTACAAATTGGTAGTTACAAAATAATCACGGGGCTGAAGGGTAGAGTGAAAGAAATATAGTCAATGATATGGTAATAACTATGTATGGTGTCAGGTGGGTATTAGACTAGTCAAGGGGATCACTTCATAAATTGTATTAACCAGTATGCTGTATACCTGAAACTAATTAAATGTCAACTGTAATTGAAAAATTTTAAAAATAGAGATTCCAATTGAAATTATGAGCATGTCTATCATCTCCAAAGCACAGAGCATAGTCATTAGAGTCAAGTTGGCCTGAGTTGGCCCTCCAGCGCTTCCAAGTACTTGATGTGCAACATGGACCAGTTATTTGACGTCTCTGAGCTTTAGTTTCCCTATCTATAAAAATATGGTTCATACTCCCCGCTTGGTGCTATTGTGAAGATTTACAGAAAATTGTAGGTGTAAAGTGCTTAGCTTGGTGCCTGACCCATAATGAACACCGAATAAAATGTTGTTACTATTACTGAAGCAGAAGACTGAATCTTGATTCTCCCCACAACTAAGGTTGGCCAGAGAAGAATCCCAGGGAGGCAGAGGAGGAGCAGTCGGAGAAAAAAGGAAAATGTCATGAGGCTGGAGGGAAAAGGCTCATTAGAGAAGGTCCCACAGGGCAGATCAGAGGATGAGGCCTGAGAACACAGCAGAAATCAGGTGGCCCCTTGTGTCCAAGAATGCTTTTTCCATAGAGCAAAAAAGGCAAAATCAAATTCAGGGAGAAAACACAGAGATTATGGGCAGACACCAGGAATGAGAGAAGAGGGATAGACTGAGGTTGTCCCCAAGGGAGGAGGTAGTAATTATTGCACTAAATACTGAAGAACAGAATTGCAGGACAGAGGACACAGGGAGAGCAGTCAGGATGGAAAGGATGAGGGTCACTGCTGAGACTGGACAAGAGATGGGCCACAGAGTATTGTAAGCAGCACACAGGGAGACAATGCACGCCCCCGCCAGTCAGAGGCTTCTTGGTATCAAAGCCAATGTCTGTGCATTTTGCTGAGGTGAATGGATTTTGTCCCAGCAGATAGCCTCCATCTTTTCAGCACCATAGGTGGCCAGGGTAAACACCCCAAGCGTGTGTAAGGCTGCAGAAATGAGAGGAGAGGCTGAAATGTCTACAACTGCTGCTACAAAACTGAAGAGTTCTGGGAAAGTGAGGTTCAGCCTCTTTCCTCAATCTGAAGTTCATAGAGTCAAAGCAATAGAGTCTGTGCATTTTGTGAATATAGTCACTAAAACCCTTTTAATGAAATGTCTGCTGGACATGCCTTATGAATATAACATCCCTCTTAAAATCATATTTTCAGATAAAAAATTCAGTTTGGGATGTACAGAGGGCTAATAAAAATGCTGCCAACTTGAGTTTTTTGAGTTCACATACAAAAAAGTTGTTGTTGTTGTTTTAGTTGGGGGACCAACACAGATCGCCAAATTTTAATTTTTCTAAGTGAGGACATCAAAAAAAAAAATCTAGGGTGGGCCGAGTGGCTCAGTTGGTTAAGAGCTCGCTCAAGAGTTTGAGCTCTGAGCAACAGCGGTTTGAGTCCAGCCCGAGCTGAGCAGCCGCCAAGCTGCCAACAGGTAGCAGGATGGCTCAGCTAAAAAACAAAAACAAAAACAAAAACAAAACAAAAAAACAAAAATAAAGAAAAAAAAATCTAACATCGACTTTCACCCTAATTTCATAAAAGAAAAACAATATTGAAAAAGTTAGGCCCAACATCATCTCAAAATAATTTTAAAAATTAAATCAATTTAGCCTTATTATATACTTTCTATGTTATTTTTGTTTTTCTCAGTTTTGAAGGTCAAGTGAAAACTGTCTCGTCAGATGAAAATGGTCTCTGGATGCAGTCTGGACCAACGTGCTCAGGCTAATTACAGAAAGGAAAAAGTTTCTGACTAAGAGGCTCAGAGATGGCAGAGTGAGGGAATCGTGTATTGGTTCAGAATATTTAATAACTGATCATTAGTGGAACTGCACTAACAGGTAATTATGGCTATAAAATGCAGTATAATTTTGCCATTTATTGTAAGCAATGTAATCCACAGCAGAGAAGGCAGCTGTGGAAGTGACCTAGCAGAGAGTGAAGGAGTGAGGGTGGAGGGTGCTCCTGAGGCAGCACCCCTCCATGTGACTGCGCCCAGGGTCCAGGGAGTGGGAAGCTAACAAAGCCAGAAGGGACCCGGTAATGGAAGGAGGTGAGAAGGTTGAAGAGGATGGAAGTCAGGCTCAGAGTGAAACTAGAGTCAGCAGTTGTGAGGGTGCAGGAGAACTGACAGGTAGGAAGCTAGTCATGGGAGGGAGAAGGATCTGGTGTATAAAAATAAGAAAAAAGATAGGTCAATGCAATCAAGGGGCTTGGGGGTGACAGGTGCAGCACCCGCAATTCACCTCTTTTGCTTCTGTTTCTTGGTTTATTCTGATAGCCCACCCTGGGCAAGAACTAACCTTCTGCACACCTGTCCATTTCTTCCGAGTCCTGTAACCAGGCTGCCACTTTACTCTGGCCGGTCGTGCAGGTTGCAGGGAGGCTGTTGCTGCAGGGTAAAGGGGACTCCCATGGACAGCTATTTGGTTGCACCTACAAAGAGCAAAAAGAAGTGAAGTTTATGGTTAAGCAGAGACAGTGCATTTAAGTGATTTCATCACAGCTTTAATTATGGAGGCCAAGACATGGAAACAACCAAAGTGTCCTTCGATAGATGATTGAATAAAGAAGATGTGGTATATATACACAATGGAACATTATTCTGCCATAACAAAAGATGAAATAGTGCCATTGGCAACAACATGGATGGATCTTGAGATTATAATGCTAAGTGAAATTAAGTCAGACAGAAAAAGTTGAGAACCATATGATTTCACTGATATGTGGTATATAAAACTGAAAACAACAAAAGAACAAGAAAAACAAATGAAGAAACAAAACTGATAGACACAGACAATAGTTTAGTGGTTACCAGAGGGTAAGGGGTGAGGGGGTAGTAGATGAGGGTAAACGGGGTCAAATATACAGTGATGGAAGGAGAACTGACTCTGGGTGGTGAACACACAATGGGATATATAGATGATGTATTACAGAATTGTACACCTGAAATCTATGTAACTTTGCTAACCACTGTCACCCTAATAAACTTCAATTAAAAAAAAAAATACAGGGCCGGCCAGGTGGCACGTTGGTTAAGAGCTGGCTTGGGACGCCAGAGGGCCCCGGTTTGGATCCCACATATGAGGGCCAGTGACGCTGCCCTCTGCAGCTAAGATGCTGAACAACAGCTCAACCTGGAGCTGGGCTCCTGGAGCTGGGCTGCCGTGAGTCGCCAGCGACGGCATAGGTTGCAGCCCCTGCTGCAGTGGGTTGCCATGGGCTACTGTGTGTAGCCAGCAGCCAGCGTGAGTGGCCAGCAGCCACTGTGAGCAGTCGTCCAGAGGCCGGCGACTGAGCTGCCTCGCCCAGGAAGAGCGCAATGATGGTGCCAACTTGGGCCAGTGAAGCAACATCCTCCACAACTAGATTGAAGAACGGAAGGGCAGCGGCTTTTCTGTTCCCCTTCCCCCAATTCCTCAGCGCTGTTCCCATCCCCCAATTCCCCAATAAAAATCTTAAAAAAAAAAAATACAAGTATTCTCAAAGTGACATTAAAACAGAAAGGAAGAAAGGGCACGCTAAAGAATGGAGAAGCCTCTTGGCTAAATGTGGTACATGTGCAGTGAAGCCAAAGTTCACAAACACTGACAATGCTCTCATCAGGTTGCCATCTCCATCATACAGTGAAGGGGACAACATTCAAGTATGTTATATCGCATACTCAGAAGGACCTGCCAACTCAAATTCCCAATAATATTAAATTACTCAGTAAGTTGTATTTGATACGTGTCTTTATTGCAGGCTCAACTCACGATTGAAGCCTTTCCTTTCCAAAAGCTCTCTGTACCCTATGATCAGCCACAAGTGATTCCTAAATACTGTACATTATCCACCAGCAAGCAACTTTGTAATGCTTTGGATGCATACTGAAAATTATAATACAAAAGAGACAGTCTTGGGTAATTACTATTATCTGTAGCTGATAGACTTTCAATTTAAAGGCACTTTATGTAAAATAAAGTTGTATGAAGTATGTAGACACTAAAGTGAATACAGTAAACACTCAGTGAAAAAAGCATAAACTTGTTTTCCCCCAAATCTGCAACAAGTTTAAAACTGCATATTTCACTATAATATTCAATTACAACTGGTTGTGTAGCTTCTAAATCTTTGGAAGTGAATGATGTGCATACTGAACAAAGCCGGACTTATTTATTAACCACACAGGGCCACAAATCAATTAAGATTCAGGAGTCTCATAATTTGATACTTAGAATGCAAGCAAAGCGATAAAAAGCTCTTCTCGGGCTTTATTGCATTTTGATAAATGTAATGGGAATTTTTCACCAAATTAGAGCTTAGAGGTATGTCATTCGTAACTAGAGCAATAGATCTGTGAAAACCAGTGTTGAAGAGTCTCTTATTCCTAGGCAAACAGTGGAGAGGATTTGGTTTCAGCTCTCCATTCTTGGATATCACCCAATTTATTTAATAAATTAAAAAATGGATGGAAATAATACACCGCTTCTCGGTGCTCTGAGCCAAAGATGCAGGCAGGAGCTGAAAGGATCAAGAATTAAACATTTATACTTTTCAAATATCCACCTGGGATACATTTCTTGCTTATTTTGGACTAACTCTGGGATTCATTCTATTCTGTGGTGCGAACGCAGGAGGCCCAGAGAAACGTGGGGAGTATCTTGAGCATCCTGTGTTGAGTCATTCAGTGAGTGTCCTATGTCCTAATCCCCTGACCTCCCGGTTCGTTCCCTTTCATTTTCAGAACTGGTTAGTATTAGGGTTAAGCCAACATCCTGTTTCTAGGAGAAAGATGATCAAAGAGTCCTTGGCAAGGCTATAACCAGAAAAGGTTGAGAGCCTTATGAAATACAACTAATGGGGTTTAACAAAAATTACTTGAGTAATTCCATTGACATAGCAAAAACTGAATATAGTTGTGTTTCATTTAGTCTTATTTGATTAGTCTTGCAGTTACTCCATGAGGTTTTTCAACAGATATATGTATTACATACTCATGTATCCCTACATAAGAAAACAGAGAAAAGCAGAATCTTCACCGAAACATTCTCAAACCCAATTCTTTGTGGCAGCCAGTTACTCACAGATGTCTCTGTTCTCAACAGCAAGTGCCAACACCCCCGGGCAGGGCAATGTGGCTATGGTTCAGAAAACTTAATTATTGAATCAAAGGCAGAAACAGCTGCCTCCTTGCCTGTGGTCTTAACCTTGATTTTTTATAGACAACACCTCTAGCTTTTCAGCATCAAAGAAAATGAACTCTTAATACAGTCCAAAGAATGACTTCAGTCTCCCTCAATCTGGTACCTGGTATAATGGAAAGGGCACTGATTTTAGACTCAGAGACATGAGGATTCAGATCCTGCTCAGCTGATTAATGGCTATGTAACTTCTGGAACAATTTTTTACTGTCTCTGAGCTTTGTCTCTATTAAAGAATAGAGATGAATGAATGTCAAATGCTTAACTCACTGCTAGTCACTCAAAGGGGCTGCTACTCTTTGTCACATTCTCTAGCCCACTTGTATGAACTTAACTGGTTTCTCTCTAGGTCATATATACCGGGGATGCCAAAAAAATGTAAACACATTTTAAGAGATGTTATCTATGTATTACTTTTCTTTTTTCTTTTTCTTTAAGATTTTTATTGGGGAATTGGGGGGATGGGAACAGTGCTGGGGAATCGGGGGAAGGGGAACAGACAAGTTGCTGTCGTTTTGTTCTTCAGTCTAGTTGTGGAGGGCGTTGCTTCACTGGCCCAAG